AAAATACTTTCTTCACCACTTGCAAGATTTTCGATCTATTTCATAGACATTTGCCACTTGATCTGCAAGGTCTACACCTCTCATTTTGTTATAGAATTTGATTGCCACAGGGCACTCAAATTCTTCTTTGCTTCCATCTTTCATGGTGCGATTTACTTCGTGACAATTACTACGTATTTAGCTTCGTGACAATTACTTAGCATCATCACTTCCTTTGAATCAAGCCACCTCGCACACAATGTTCCATTTTTAGTTACGAGAAACTCAGCCTCACCCCTTTTGCTTAGTTTTGTTGCAAAATTAGAAACATCTTTGCGTGTCTTGATGCACGTACAAACAGCAGGAAATTTCAGGGTTTCCATCAAGTACACGCTTGCAAAAAATTGGTCAAACGCAAGCATCACATCTTTACCTCGGACTGTCTCCGTTAGCTTTGATACTACCTGTTCCCTGAGTGTGCCTTGAACTTCACCCGTTTCTTTTCCGGAATAAATGTTCATGTCATATACATATCCTGTTTTTGAATCACATCGCTGCCAAATTTTTATCCCTCTTATCATGGGTTTCATTGAAATATATTGTTTGAGGGATGAACGTCCCTTGAATTTCGCCACTGATTCATCAATAGATTGATATGAGCTTTCGCTTCGGCACTGTTTGAAGGTTTGTTTCAGGCACGAAACAACCTTGTCAATATACAGTCAAAAGTCGTTAATCCGGACTCGTCGGGACTTCGGCGATTCCGGATTATCGATTTTTCCCGGATTATAGATCATCAGTTTAAATCTCGTAAGATGGCATGCAGAAATTCTAAAATAAAAAATATGAAACCGTAATTTATGAAATAAAGAACAATTATGATCTAAAGGGTATCAAAATTTGCAAAAAGAAAAAGCTTAATATTTATTTGTTTACTTTATTAAACATTTCTTTCAATGTAAGTTGTTTAAGTTTTGCTTCGTTTCATGTGATAATACTTTCTCTTTAATTCTATTAAACAGACATAATTTCTTGTTCAGTTACAAAGTTCCGCCGTTCAAGTCCTATAATTGCTGTGTCAAGAACACCGACTAATTTGTCAATCGAAATTTTTTTTGTTTTCAATAACCTCTGTCACTTTTCTTTGCTATCGAAAGCAAATTATAATGACGAGGAACTTGTTTTAAATCATATCAAAGACGGAGCATATCGAGATGAAATACTACATTTGGTAAGGAATTATAAGCCAAATAAAATAAAAACATCTGCGCTGAAGATAAGGATAGTGCTGACAAATCAACTTCCAATTCATTAGGCGCCCGCCGCCGAGCAGCGTGAAATTGATAAACAGATTTCGGATTTCAAAACATACTTTCGCTTTAGATCCTTTACATATTAACAAATATATATCGGAAATTCTATTTGATATAATCAAAAGTTTAAGCTTACTTTTATAAAATTGCTCTTACAGTCTGCAGAAAATAATAAGCCGGATGCAATTCGAAAATTAAGGAACAACGCAATCATCAACATTAACTGAAATAGATAATTAGATAATTTTAGCTTATACGTCCATTATACATAAAATGCGCACGCGAAAATGTATTCTGCACTTGCGCACACTCATATGCGCAGTCGTAAAAGGTCTTACGTGCACGCGTGAACGCCTCTGCGCTTGTGTCAACGTGGCGCATGCGCAGAAAGTTTTTAGTTTTGATGTCCGGATTATAGATCATTCCGAATTATGGGTGTCCGAATTAACGACTTTTGACTGTAATATTGTACTTGCATGTTTTACTTGCATTTTCTGGCTTTTCTGGTTCAGCAAAATCTAATTTCGACAGCAACATTTTACATCTGTCTCTTGAAATAGCATTTTTTATTGCTAAAGAAATTTCCCAAAGAAGGATTAGATGACCAATAATGAGGGAATTTCGGCACCCTATAGTAAGACATGACAAGCATAATTTCAGAGGGGTCTGTAGGGTGAATTATTTGTCCTAACTTTTTGAGTCATTGGTTTGTGCGTTGAGAGATCCAAACCATAAGACTTTTTGGAAATATCTTGAGAAACACGTCCAATTCAGTAGCTGAATGATTTAAGTTGAATAAAAAAACTAGGCGATGACTCTGGTGGAATTGTCATTCGAGGTTGAAAAGTTGAATCTGCATGAAACCATAAGATTGGTTTGCAGCCTGAAGCATTAGCTGATGGTATCTCATTAACTAATGAAAGTGATGCCATATCAGTATCAATCAAAGAATTGCTGTTCTTTGTATTTTGGGGAATGGTATCATGATCGATATTCATTTCACACTCGTCTGAATCGGATGAGTACTGCAAATTGTATGTTGGATCTTGGAAATTGGGATCGTCTATTTCATCATCCAAATTAATATCTTCGTCATCTGACTCTTCTAAAATTTTTTTGATTTCTTCATTAGTAAGTCCCCAGCGTCGAGTCATTTTAGATTGAATTAATTTGTGTCTAAATTAAAAATAATAAGCAATTATTTCAAAAGTAACTGAAAAATATAATATCTAGAGAAATGATCACATAGGACTGTTGGGACAATGTGTTCCCACTGTCCAACATGAGAGGGGACACATATGTCCCGATAATAAAAACAGAAGTAAAACTTTGCCACTTACCAGTTCATTAGAGGTAATCCACTTAGTGAGTAACTTACCTGGCCTTAGATTTATGGATAAATCAATATTTAATCGAAAATAGGGGGTATTTTCCAAAACTAAACTATTTACATTCGTTGTGAATGGAATGAGCTGCTACAACACTTAAAAAATGTGGGAATTGCATTATGTACGGTAGTGCCATCTATGTTCTGTGAATGAAAATACCTTAAAAAATAATTAAGACACAATAACACGCCGATAATTCAGAAGTCAAACAACAAAAATCAGCGTTATATTTACAAAATTTTCACAGGACTAGTTTCGATGGTTTTACCGAACCACTATCCTCAGCTGCGAAACCGCAAATGAACAAGATAGGAAATAATGATTAGATAAGATAAGAAAGCCTGGACAAGAATAAGCAAGTGGCACCATCTGTTGGTGAAACCAGAACTAAAACATAATTTCTTTAAAGGCCGAAGGCAAATTTGGATTGGAATTAGGATCGTTAACTAGACCAGAAAAATTTTTATGAATGTTAAATGCCTCTAGAAAATCCAGTTCTCCAATGGAAGATGTTTTTTGAATAATTTTGGCAGCATAAAAATTGAAAGTGTGATTTTCGGACCAACAATGTTGAGCAACAGAAGACTTCTGTGTTTCCTTTTTTCTAACATATGCCTCATGTTCCTTGACCCGAAATGACCTTCAAAATATTGACCTTCAAAAATATTGGCAGGACTGGTGGGAAAGTCTCCTATTAGACAGAGAAGCGTTTCTATCCGAAAAGCATTTTTTGAAATTTGCTTGGGACGTATGTGTCCCATTAGACACGAAAGGGTTAATAAATATTTATGCATTTTGTTAAAGGCAGATACATGCTTTTTTCAGTCATATGCATAAATATCCATACATATTTCATATTTTTCATTTTTGGTATGTGCAAATATTAATTTCTGTGGATATACTATATTTTTCGAGTAAAGTAATTTACAATAATTTAGCATATACCTGAAATTTTTACATAAGAAATATGCATAAATATAATTTGAAAGAAAATTACATGCATTATTTTTAATACCCACTCAAAGGTAAGTTTTTCTTTGAAATTCCTCCACGATGGCATCTCTCTCTTTAGGCAGATAGCCTTTGCATGCTTTACTCTATTTAATAAAAATTTAGCCTGACTTATGTGCCTAATTACAAATATTTTAACATGCATAATTTTATACTTACATTTAGCCATCAAGTTTTAAACTTTTGACTTCAAACATGTTTTAGGATAAATTCATTATCAAATTCAAATCTTCTTTTTGGCAGAGCACACAATACCTGTTTTAGCAATTTTATGCAGTTTAATAATTCTCTGATAATATAATAAATAATAACTATCCATTTCACATTTAAACATTAACCACACTGTCATCTGATCGCAATCTTGAATGCCTTACTCTGCATAATATTGCTTCATTTGCCGAGTTCGCAAATGTATCCATCTTCTGTTCCACACATTTGTGTAAAGTGGTTACAAATCAAGGAAAATTTAACTTATTCGCTTATCTGTGTGTATATTTATTAATTTTGATGAGGATTGCAGCATTTGGTGGTAATTTTATTTTTTAATTAACTCAAATAAGTAAAACATGTAAGCCCTGAGTGATTATTTTTCAGTTATATAAAAATAAAATGATGAGTTTAAAATGAGCAACTATAAAGCCTCTCCTTTAAAAATTTTTAAAAAGTACATGTCACAATAATATGTGGATGAAAAAAATTATTTAAAACATTTGGAACACAAAATAAAAGTAGCGAATACTCTATCAAGGGTATTGAAAGACGCATACAATTTTAAAGGTACCATAAGGTATGGTTCATTCTTTAAGAAATTATAACATTTTTTCTAAAATCTATATTTCTGTAGTTCGACAGCTTAGAATTTCATAAAACAAATTCATAAGCAAAATCGTTGTTGTGTGATGTGATTTTTGCATAAATGTCACTAAACTATACAAATTGCTATTATCCATCACACTATGAATGTTTCTTTTATGCCGAAGTGTCCCGTTTTTCGATTTGTTTGGAACTGTCATGTGTTGAAATACTATCACAGCACTGTCAAGGCAGCTTCTGAATGTAAACAAAAACACCCCATCTGGAGACCAAAGCCTCGGAGCAGTGCTTCACTTGTAGTGCCAGTTTGGCCCTTCCTTCCTCTCTTAACTTCATGACTCAGAATGCTTAACATAAATTGCCTACAAAAACTACCTAGATATTTTCATAACTTTGCTTATTTTCAATACAATTATGCAGTGTAAATTCTTGATATGGTGCAATATTTGTATTTCTTTAGAAATGTTTCTATGACATTAAATTAAGTTAAACTCACCTGCAATGAGTTGAATTAATTTGAAATCACTGACTTCAAAGTCTTTCTTGAGCTGTTGCATCTTTTTTTTTCTATCATCATTGTTCTTGCTAACAGACAGCTCCGCAATTATATTCATAAGACGTCCACTCTTAGAGAGAAGTAATACAAAAGCAATTTAAAAATTTAATTATGTTATAAATAGGGTTATAAATAAGCACACAACTGGATATTTATGGCAATTTTCTGTTATCCAGAATGGATTTAGATATATATGTGTGTGCATACATATGTGCATTTCTGAATCCAATCCTGATAACAGAAAAGTATTAAACATTTTAATGCGTAAAATACAAGAAAAATACTAAAAAGTAGAAAACATAATGTTGGACTCACCAACTTAAACCAAACTTTGCATAACCATGCAGTACCTTAAAGTTAATATATTTGCAGATGTTTCTTGTACGTCTCTCAGAAATAAACAAATAAAAAATGGAAGCTAAATTTCAAAACATATCACTAACCTTTTCATGTCACCTATACAGACTAATTTTTTATGTACTTAAGCCATTTTGTCAACTATTCGATCAATAAGATTAAAAAAAAAAAAAAAAAAAAATATCAACAGTTCCCTGATAAAAGACCACTGCATGAAAGAGCAAGCAATACTCCCCTCTTGAAAGAGAAAAAAAAAAAAAAAAAAAACTCTGATAATTGCCCATATGTCAAATATCCATATGGATGAAAGCGCACATAGATAAAAGCCGGCATTGGTATAAACCCACACTGATAAAAGCCCACATACATAAAAGGACATATGATTTTTATAAATATAAAAATGCATGATTACAATTATAATAAGTATTGATCCTAATTATAATAAATCAAGTCAAGTATTTGAGTCTAGGGTTTTTTTTAATATAGATGTTTGAAAAATATGTCTGTCCATAATTTTGATCATTACCTTGTTTTAGTAAGATGAAAACAAATATTTTCTGATCTCAGATTAAGAGACTATCCGTAACGTTTCAGTGGTAAATCTGAAAATTTTACTTACTTACTATTTTATTTCATTTTGCTTATGTATTTTGTCTGCATGTGTGTGTAAAAATGAAAAAATATCACTGTGAAGTTCAACAAAAGCTAAAGAACAGAATAAATTATTTTTATAATTATAGCACAGAATATTTTCTTAATCTCTTTTAATTCTTAATATAAAATGTAAAGCAGTACCTTTGAGAACTTAAGCTTACAAAAAAAAGCATTTCATTTTCTTAATTATTGTTATTTTAAATTTTGCTTAAATCGTGTGCAAAAATCATTATTCTTTATTCTAAAAAATTTCTTTCAATTTAAAGAGAGACTTTCTTTTTATTTCTTTCCCCCTCCATTTCTCAATTTGATGCTATAGAGACAGGCTACGAGTACAATTGCCCGTGGATCCGGATCCCAAAATGCAGTGCGTTAGACTGGAGCTTCAAATTACTGTGCTGAGTGATTAAATGTAGTACTTATGGATTTTCAAAACCTAAGTTCAAACTGTATTCGAAGCAGCCTGAGACATACTTATGAGTGTAATTTTACTCTTACAATGTTATTTTCTTTAAATGCATCTTATTATGCAAATGACTATATCTTGCTTAAGTAATTGCTAAATATAGCAGTTATTATATAAATTATCCATAAAATTTACATGTTACACATATACAGCAGTTAGAATACATATTGTTATTATAGTAGTATATGTACAAATAAAAAATAATAGCAATAAAAACATACACACTTAATTACTATACTTAAACTTACTACTATTACCATTCAGTGAAACACAAGAAAAACTCAAGACATATAATGACAGAGTGAATTAAATGAGGCTATATACATAAATTTTAAAATGTTCAACACTAAAATCTTTTCACATATATTTTTATTACTTCAGCTACGAGTAGAAGTTTTATAGCTTACATGAAAGGCGTAGCTTAAAAATTGCACGACTGATGCTTACTGAATACAACATTTCATTTTTTTATTAATTTTTATTTAGCTAATTAATTAATGTTTTTGACATTTAAATTTTTAAGGAAAGTGCGAAATTACCCACTGCTTGGCGCATTTTTAAGAATTGCACATACTCGGTATTCATGTACACATCGACCTATTTTCACTTAAAAAACATCCCAGAATTGCACAAAAATGGCATTGCGCACTTTCTTGACTTTATCCATGTACACATTGACCTAATTTCATGTAAAAAGTCAAAGAAAATTGACAAAAATTAAATTCTTCTTACTTTTGTAAAAAGCGCTAAACAAATAAGTGGGTGATTCTGCACTTTACTGAAATTTTTACCTAAGCCACATGCTCAGATTTATTTCGAAAGGTAGAATGTCTGGAATTTTTTGATAAATAGAAATAAATGTTTATATCTTTAAAATTCTATCAATCAAATAAAAATGTTTTTTACCCACAGAACATAATATATATAAGTTTTTACACACATTAGCTGATTTCAACAAATAATAAACACTCTTTTTATCCTTCGAATTCCATAGAAATAACTCAAATAAAAGGTTAATTTTTGCTTAATTTTATATTTGTATGATAATTACAAGATGAAAATTACCACAGAAATATAAAACTCAACATTTTATTTAAGTTGGCTCAGCCTAAAATGAATTAATTCTTAATACAGTCAAAAGTCTTGAATCAGGACTCGTCGGGACTTCGTCGATTGCGGATTATCGATTTTTCCGGACAATAGATCATCAGTTTAAATCTGGTAAGATGGCATGCAGAAATTATAAAAATAAAAATGTGAAACCATAATTTATGAAATAAAGAACAATTATGGGTTGCTCTTTGGATTATGGTAACTTGGCGATTTTTTGGCGAAAATTTGACGACCAACTCTGCTACAGCAACTTTCTATTTTTTTTTTCGCCGCCATTTTGTCTTCACGAAGTAAAGACATGTTTCTTTTCTTTTTATTTACTGAACACTTTTTCCAACAATCTACTAGCCGAATTACACTTACGCTAGAAATTTTATCTAACAAAACTGCTTAATCATGACAAATATTAACTGCAAAAATTGGGAAAAAGTGCACAATCGCAAAAACTCCTTGCGCGTTTTTCAGAATAGCACATACACATAAACTATTTACACGTTGACCTATTTTTACTTAAAAAAAACATCCCAGAATTGCACAAAATGGCATTGCACACACTCTTAACTTTATCCATACACTGTTATTTTCTCATAAATTACAAAAATTTGCACGAAAATGCAAAAAATTCTGTGAATCTTTAAACTCGGTAAAAAGCACATATATGAAATTACCTGATCGCGAAAAAGTATATACCCTTTCCAAGAATGAACATTTCCACGTATAAAATAAATAAAATATCCAAAAACTTTTACCTCTAAATTACCTATTATATTATAAACGTCACCAACGAATTCATACCGCAAACATTACAAATGGTTACAAATACTTAGTGTCAAATATTTAAATTATTTCCATACACGTTTAGTTCAACTGAAATGTATACCAAATCCCTACAAACATAAAATTCACAAAATAACTATCATTTAATTAACATATCACTAAACCATGTACACGTCGACTTATTTTTACTTAAAAAAACATCCCAGAATTGCACAAAAATGGCATTGCGCACACTCTTCACTATATCCATGTACACTGCTTTTTTCTCATAAATTAGAAAAATTTCACGAAAATGCATGAAAATACTCAACGTATTCTAAAATACTACAAACATATAACTCACAAAATCACGATCATTAAATTAAAATATAATTAAATTAAAAAACACTACTTAAAATATAAATAGCACATACATTAAATTAATAAAAATTAGATTACAATCCTAATTACTAAACTAAATCATTGCTATAACAATTTTTCAATAATACCATATAATTTATTACTCCTTACATTTAGAAAATGCATAAAAATATATCCTCAATGATTAAAAATTAATTATATTTTTCAATAATACCATATAAATTTATTTACTCCTTACATTTAGAATAATGCATAAAAATAATATCCTCAAATGATTAAAAATACTAACTTACCTAATCTTTATAATCTTCATTACGTGGCACGCACACCTCCACTATTTCATACAACACACAATGAAGCTTAACCCTTTGCGACACGCATATTTAAAATATATTTTAATCTTTAAAAAAATGCCTTAGAATAAGTCAGATGGACTTACTTAAGTGCCTTTAAGGCTTGAAAAAAATTCTGCGCTTTTATTTTTTACGGTGGAAGGTGGGATACCGTTTGTCCCACCATGCAACTAGCACATGTCTTATAGCATATTGGTGTACAGCAGGAAAAAAAAATCCTATGTGGAATGAATAAACAAAATAAAGCGTGCATTCTAAAATATTCATAATAAACACACTAAAATGCATTTGTACTTTTGCATATATGCATGACTTGTAAAATTTGGCATATGCACATTTTGCTATAGTATATATTTAATTTTTTAAATTTTAGGAACAAAAGAAAATATTTTCTTGAATATTATTTTAAGATTAAAATTTGATACTCGTACATATGATACTAAATAAAATATTAAAATTGGCACTTGATTCAAAAACATTTATATATGATTAAAATTGAAAAAAAATCATTTTTCATGAAACTTTGAAAAACATGTTGTTTCATTCTTTTGTTCTTCACATGTTTCACAGATCCAAAATGCTCGTCGTTCTTCTTTCGATATGCTGCAATATGCACTTCTTCTCCTGCTCGTTCTCTTTGGCGTTTTACCTACATTTTTTAGTCTTTTTTCTGGTTGTATGAACGGAATTTTAGTTTTTATTTGAACTGGGGATTTCAGTTTTCTTTTCAGCTCTTTCTTGCCTGCAAGTGCCATTAGACCTTCTATAACTGAGGGAAGAAAATCTTTCATTGTTTTTACATCATGATCAGGCTCGCGAACAAACTTGACTAAATGTGTTTACTATACTTCGCATCTAAAAAGTAAAAAAAGATCCTGTGCCACCATTTCTTGCTTTTGCGTCTATTTCATATGTCTGTCAGTTGATCAAACAAACTTGACTAATGTGTTTATATACTTGCATCTAAAAAGTAAAAAAAAATCATTGCCACCTTCTTGCTTTTGCGGTCTATTTCATATAGTCTGTCAGTTGATCAATCAGTCGACATATCCCATATTCTTATTGTATGAAATAATGCCGTTTGGGCACAGTACTTTTTTCTGCTTTTTTTTTTTGTTTTTCCATCTCATTCTTTTCTATTAATTTCTTTCAATTCAGTTGCCTTTTCCAAGCAAGACAGGATAGAAACGGAATCTTTTATCCTTCCTTTTTATGCAATAAATTGAATCATCGCTAACTCAAAAGTCTATATCTCCTCTCGACATAAATTTGTCTTCTTTTAAAATTTGGGTAGATATTCCGATCCATATTTACAGTGCCACATGCATGATGGGTCTGTGTCTTTAAAAAGCGAAACAAATTATAACTACTTCCGTTTCTTCTTCAGCAATAACTTCAACCTCAGTTATTCTCTCCTGGATTTCAATTTCATCTAAATCAGAACTGACATCTGAAGTATTTGAGTCACAATCGGATGGCAATTCAGCAAAAAGATCCAAAGCTTCCTGAGTTGTTAATTTTTTTGTAGACATTTTAGCACATCAGAGCATACAACGGATGTAAAAGCGCGCACAATCACGAAAAAAGTAGATGCGAAAAAGAAAAGAAAAAATAATCGTGAGTGCTGCCATCTATTGAGCGGAAATTCAAGTGTGTGGTGGACAAATTTTAACCCACTTATTTCAACTGCAAAATTAATGTTATAAAATATTGAATCCAATTAAGATTTTTGAAAATAAAATACCTTTGAATATTAAAAAGAATCATACATATCATAATTGTATACCAAAATTTTTAAAATATGGAAAAATGCGAGATACATGGATATCACTCTTGTGATCCTATTTTGAATATTTTTTGCTTATAAACTTAATCCCTGGTATAGTAGTAACATATACTGAGAAAAATAATAACTAAAATAGATTATTTTTAAAAGATTAGAAAATTTCTAACGGAAATTGCTAAGTGAGAAAATAAATATTAGTCAGATGGGACATATATTGACCCACCATGCTGCAAAGGGTTAATACAAAATAATATAGTACTACAGTTTTCCAAATTCCCCCTTTTCCGATTAAAGAACTGTAATTCATCCATTAATGTCACATGACGTATCTCATGATCTCTCATTTCCCTCACACAAAATAATGTGTAATCGGAACTGAGTACTTCTCACATTATTCCCAAAGTCCTAGGTAGTAACCTTTATCGCCTCCAAAATGTCGCCAAACTACCAGTTACCATATTCAAAAGATCAGCCCAATTATGATCTAAAAGGTATCAAAATTTGAAAAAAAAAAAAAAAAAAAAAAAAAAAGAACCTTAATATTTATTTGTTTACTTTATTAAACATTTCTATCAATGTAAGTTGTTTAAGTTGCTTCGTTTTATGTGATAATACTTTCTCTTTAATTCTATTAAACAGACATAATTTCTTGTTCAGTTACAAAGTTCTGCTGTTCAAGTCATATAACTGCCGTGTCGAGAGTACCGACTAATTTGTCAATCGAAATTTTTTGGTTTTCAATAACCTCTGTGTCACTCTCTTCACTATCGGAAGCGAATTATAATGACGAGGAATTTCATTTAATTCACATCAGAGACGGAGTACATCGAGATGAAATACTACATTTAGTAAGGAATTATAAGCCAAATAATAAAAACATCTTCCCTGAAGATAAGGATAGTGCTGACAGATCAAATTCCAATTCATTGTGCGTTGCGACATTCCCCATAATTGAAGGGGTATCAGGTTTATAAAGTACAAGCTGAATACATATAAGGGGAAGAAATTCGTAAATTACAAAATGAATATTATATTTTAGTAAAGTAAAATATATATATAATATATATCTGGAAAAACAATATACAATATTTATGTATTTACATGTACATATAGTATATAGCACCATAACTATCAATTGATCACAATTTTTATTTTGCCAGGATATGGAATTTGTTTAGGAAAAACAATAAAACCACTTTTCAACCTGAAGAAAATTACTTTAATATATTTTTTACAGAATAAATTTTTACGTGACGAGTTTTTTTCCTTCCTAATTTAAGTGACATTTAACATGTAATGACAGTGTAAAAACCACAAAAGAAAAGTATTCCTTATAATTCTGCTGAAGTTATTCATGAAAATGCTTTCAGTTTATTTATACAAAGCATATTTTCCTTCTACTTTACTTTTAAATATATAATATGGCTATTCGAAAATTGACTTATTAGCTTTATTAGTTTAAAAATTGAACCAATTTAGATTCTTCCAGTTAGAGATTTTCAAAATAAGATGAAGACCGTTAACTATATGGGTGAGATTGTTTTCATAAAATAAATTAAACTTTTTAAAGCTTCCAGAGAGGAAAAACTTCAATCACAAAAATATTATGCACTAATCTGCCAAAAATTCCATTCTATTTATGTCCAAACTTAGAAAATGCTATTGCTCAATTATTACAAAATGACATGAGGATTATCTACTTAAATAGATGAATGCTTTTATGGAGGACTTTCAGTGACATTGGTTCGTATTTTTATAATATGTGGGCCAAGCTAAGGAAGTGGTATACTTTTCATCAGAAATCAAATCTTTGTTGAGCTATAAAAGTTTAGCTGTTTTAGTCATTTGGCAACAGGTGACTATTATATTATGATAGGGTAAATTATCTGCAAGGTGTTTGCGATAATTCTCATGCTTTTTTCGTAATCAATTAAGTGACTATTTGGAAAGTTTGCATTAATAAAAAAGCAATTATTACAAATTTATTTCAAACGAACATTCATCTTTCATGAAATTCGAATTTCTTGAACTCAAATTTTCTGGCAAGTTGTTCCTTTCTTGAATTTTTTAAAGAATATTTTCTTAACATTCCTTTATTGATAAGTCAAAATCAGGAATTTCCCCCCCCCCATGGAAATCATACTTCTAATGTCTTTTGTGAAATTTTGAATATGAAATAATTTACTTCTTTTAAGAGAAACTACCTGCTTTCATGTGAAGTGTAAAAAATGTACTTGAGAAAAAGTAAGATATTTTATTAATAAAATGTACAATTTTTCCCTTTGAAAAAACCGAAAGATACACTGCTTCCCATTCTCCACTTTTATTCTTTGCTTTAAAGCATCTAATCAATTATTGATAAATTTTTCATCATTTTGTTGAGGCCATAAAAGTCCGGAGATATCTTCCACTGCAATCTGCTTTCTAAATACCATTTAAATTTATTTTACAAACGTTTCTGAATACACTCGTTATTTATATGCGAATCAGTTATGGGGAAATGTGCAGAATCATCCATTGCATCACGTGTTTCTCAAAATTACGCGCCATATAAGTGGGCGATTCTACATCAACTTGAAAATAACAAGTCAAAGAATTGCACAAACTCGGTATTCACGTACACATCGACCTATTTTCACTTAAAAAAATATCACAGAATTGCACAAACTTGGCATTGTGCATCCCCTTGTCCATGTACACATCGATACATGACATATAAGTGGGGCAATTCTGCCCTTTATCTCAGTTATTCTTTACCAGTTTTAACTATGTAATGATGATTTGAGATGATACAAAAAAGCAAGCAGCATGTCTTCCAGTTTACATGCTTTAACTAAGTGCATAAAAAAAAAAAAAAAAAAAAAAAAAAAAAAACTGATTATTAATTCTGAAATTTTTAAGCTAATACTAAAGTAAATACCAATGCAATATGCAATGAAGTTTGACCATTAAAAAAAGGCTGCCTTATATGTCGCACAGTGAAAATATAAAAACAAATGATCAGCTAGCTTGTTTTGATTCATGACATATTTTCTGTGGTTAAAAACTGAAATAAAAAGAGTTTGTATAAATGAAAGATTTTCTTCCATAGAAGTACCACTAAATTTGAAGGAAAAATATTTCTTCAAATTTAAAATTTCGGACTTTCTACATCTCCAAGCATACAAAACAGTTATTAATATGTAGAACGGCTACTAATTATGGAATTCAATATTTTGAGTATTACATTATTTATTTTATCATCATCCAATCAAACTGTACTTTGCTTGCTAATTGATACTAACCGTGTCTTTGGATACTTTAGCACCCCTAGGTGGACGCACTGGTGTGTAATAATCTTTTGCAGACATTGTTTAATAAAAATAAATTTCGTGCAAATATTCTGCTAATATTTTATATAGCTGATAAATTTTGTTAGAAAAGCAGAATATCCATAGTAATTTTAAATGTACAAATACCACGTCCCTTTAATGAAACCATGAATAGTTAAAACAGAAACAAGTCGCACGGGCGTTTTTAAAATCTACTGTTCATTTAAGAGATGAGTTGAAGAATTTCCTTCCTTCTTAATTGTTCCTCAGTTTTGAGTTTATTTCCTAAGTCGAAAATACGAGTTAAACAATTTAATCGAAAACAGATGAATGGATCAATTTATAACGTAAAGATTTCTAAAAATTTATCTGAAAATGCTTTCGGTAAATGCGCTTCAATATCTATCCTTTTATTAGGACAGGGTAAACCTTCCATTACGTAAAATTATAATGTTGCATAGCTTATTTTGTTTTATAACTTGAATGTCATGACATTCCTGATGAGGTTTATTTTAATTTTAATACCTTCAAAGAGCAAAATATTTGTTAAAATAACCATAGAATTCAAGGAATCTTCTGGAGGTTGAAGTTCTTGTGGATGAATATGTGGGATCATTCCTATCAAAATATAACCATTATTTGTTGATGGCGGTTTATTTGTTCACTTCTTAATTTTACTTTAAATTTACTTTACAAGTTAGGAGGTAAATCCTAAAAGATATTGCATTCATATTTAGCATTTAAATCCTTTCGATGTTTTACTGCAATTTCAAAGCACCGAATTCATTACAGTCTTTATTTTAAGCAAACATATTAACTAATCCTATTGACGTGATTTGAATATAAGTATTTGAAGGTTCGCAAACTGTCAAAATGAGAAACAGTAATTATTTTGCTACAAATTATGAAATAAGTGATCATCTCTATGATTTCATATCATTCGTTTGTGAAATTTTGTGTACGAAATTAATTTTTTATGAACGGTAATTTTATTTTTGCTATCAGCATATTATATTTTGCTATGAATTTGGTTTCGTTGATGGATTTGATATTAGCATGGAAAGTAAGTTGAACTTTATCTTTTAGTAATGCTTTTATTCATTTTCACAGTTTAACGAGAGATAATTTAAATACCTCCCTTGTGTATTACAGTATTTTCATTTTATGATCTGAACTTCAACTGCTGTATGCGAACATATTGCTTATCGTTTTTCATGTAATGCTATTTTTCAAGGATCGAAAAGTGATTCCCGAAATCGATAGGAATAGGCCATTGCAGGCCAGAAGCCCTTGGTCAGAACTGATTAGTTCAAGGATGATTTTTTGAACTGAATGTAAATGTTTGGGGGTTTAATCCTAGTAAAATCCTTGTATACGGTGCAGCCTTGGCGTGATTTTGAAAATTATCGCCAACACCAAAAATGATCCAAAGAACGTCGCGATTTTGAAAATTATCGCCAACACCAAAAATGATTTAAAGAACGTCTATATGCTATACACTATATACTATATGTGTACATACATAATATATACTATATATAACTATATACAGGGGCATAGCTAGAGTTTCCAGCGCTCGGGGGCAACTGAAAAATTTGCGCCCCTTTCTGTGTGCCAAAAATGGAAAACATTTCATTAAAATATTTCGTAGCATGAATTTGACGCCCCTTGGATGCTGCGCCCGTTGACAGATGTCCCCCCTTGCCCCACCCTAGCTATGCCACTGACTATATATATTCTTTGAATGGCCTGTTTCCTCCTCATCGTACATGTCCCGTTTTTACTGCTCATCATAAAGTCGCCAAAAGTAGCCAAATCCCGTGTGCATCGGAGGGTAGAGTAGACTTTAAGGTATCCCTTGTATTATGGCGAAGTTGTTTGATTTATCGCCAAGTTGTTTCATTTATGGTAGCCTGAGTAGTTGAATGTTATAGAAACCCTACTGTGACGTAATCGGATGCATGATTCTGGGAAATTTTGAATCATGAGATGTTTTGTAAGCGTTTTTGTGGTGTGTGTTGCTTAAGAAGCAACTTTATTTTTGATTCTTTAGACGGTAGAATGGCCGAATGTAGTAAGATTAATTTGAAGTTTCTGTATGATTTGGAGTGAAAGGGGAAAAGAGCTTTAATTGACTGGTATGTAAATGAAGGGTACTAGTAGCCATATTAGTGTCCTGTATTAGGAAGGATATGCTTAGTCGAAGGTAAAAACCGTTTAGATGGATTTGAAGGAAGAAGGTTCATGGTCACTATGTGAAGCGTTCGATCGAAAGAATACCTGGTTTAAAAAAAGTCATTTGAGTATGATTGATTTTGATTTTTACGTGGCTCTGATGTAATCGAACTCGAA